AAAAAATTTATTTTTTTTTTTTAAATACTGCGTCCTGAATATTTATTACCCATGATATGTAGAACAGTCGACTAACGAAGTATTTATCTGTAGTGCTTTTATCTACTTTATACGGACTGAGCCTTTATTTTCAAGGTTGATTGCCTGTAACATAGTTCTTTCTGCTCTAGTTGTAGTAAATGATGATGTTTAATATAAATATAAAAATTTAACATTCATAATTAATTTTAAATAGTTCTTTCTTGGTTTATACAGTTTAAAAAAGTAGCCAATACAATTTTAAAACAAACAATTGTGATTATTTCTAAAATTAAAGTCCCGCCTGATGACCTGCAAAATATGAAGTTCTGTTTTCATTTTAGTTTTGTTTTTTTCCTGGCTCCAAAACTGGGCGGACGCATGTCAGAGAAGTTATCCACTTTCCTTCCTCAGTGGAGCCAGCCATTGTCCTCGCTGACAGAGGGAAATCCCTACCGTTCTGTACCGGGCGCTGTGCTTCTACTTGTTTAAAATTCTTATCAAACTTCACAATCAAAAAACTCCAGTGTTCAACCGACATTGAACAGAAAGTTAGTTCGGTAATGTTCATGTTAAAGCCTACCGGCGTATTCGAAATATATTCAGCAGATCCTACTACGTGTTCTTATTATTAAAATTTATGATGGAATTTGTATTAATTTCGATATGAAAAATATTTATGACATATCAGTAATACACCGAGATCATGTTAAAGTGTCCTATCCTTGATAGTCCGTGGTACAGATCCCTCCTTATCAAATTATAAACATCCACCTGAAACCTCGTAAATAGCTTCATCTCATCGTGACCTACAAATATTTGATTTACTATAATTCTCGGAATGAGGGCTTTTTTAATCTGGAACTCGGAAAACTTTGCCTATTTAATTAGGTACTGAAAACTATAATGACCTTTTAAAGTTTTTGCAGGATTTGTTTTTACGAGTATCTCTTGAGAATTTGAATCAATCTTGTTCCAGGCGCCAACAAAATCACAAGATTCCTCAGGAGGCCATATTAAACATGGAAGATGAGCTGGTGTTACGTAACATCTGTCTTCTTTTTCAGATAAAAAAAAAACGTATTTTGGAGATTTTACTTCATAATAGTTGTTATGATGGCATTTTTATCTTCGACTATATAACTTAGCTTTTCGATTTAGTTTTTGATTTTTGATTTTAGTGAAACAGATGTATTGAATAAAAATATCATATATGTTTATAATTTAACAATACATTGTTAAAATATATTAATGCAGCTAGCACCGATTATCAAATTACGTAATAAAAACTCAGGATAAAGTAAAATTATGTATAATTGTGAATATTGAAAATTAATTTAATAGGGTTTATAAAAAACAAGTGTCGGAGGACTTCGAGGTGAAAAATGGGCTTAGGCAAGGAGATCCTTTATCCCCTATCCTATTTAATATTGCTTTGGAGTATGCAATAAGGGCGATCCAGACATATCCTGATGGCATCTGGCTTATGCTGATGATGTTGTGATAACGGCAAAAAATAAAACATCATTAGCAGGGACATTAGAAGAATTCGAAACTGCAGCTAAGGAACTAGGGCTACAAATGAAGAAACAGAAGACTGTTTACATGCAAACGTCAAAAAATTCAAGTGAAAAAGTCGAACGCGTCACAATTGGTAATCACACCCTAAAAGTGGCCGAAAATTTTAAATATTTGGGAGCAATAGTCACAGAAAACAATGAAATGGTAGAAGAAATAAAAGCAATGATGACTGCGGGGAATAGGTGCTGTTTTTCTTTGCGAAAAATATTGAACTTCAGATCTCTTTCTCACAGAACAAAGATCACGGTGTATGAGAAAGTCATCAGATCCGTCGTCACCTATGGCTCTGAGACTTGGGTGATCTCTAAAGCATCGGAAAAAAGGCTACTCGCATGGGAGAGAAGGGTTCTCCGCAGAATCTATGGCGAGGTATGCGAATAGAGACAATGGAGAATTCGCACTAATAAAGAACTGTATGAAATGTATTTGGCGAGGCCGGATTTGGTCTCAATTGTGAGGGGAAACCAGATCAGATGGTTGGGCCAGGTGGCGCGTATGCCTCGAGACGCGATTCCCAAACACTTGTTAGAGGATCAGCCTGCTGGAAAACGTGGAAGGGGAAGACCACGCCTGAGATGGCTGGACCAGGGAACAGAGGACAGCCTGAAAAGGATGGGTATTCGAAGATGGAGAATGCTCGCTCGGGATAGAGGAGAGTGGCGAAGGATTTGTTATTCTGTCACTTCAACAGTTTGTGTTTTAAGCAAAAATGACTATAATAAGTTATGCTTTAGTTTCTCCTTTTTTTCCCTCTTATATGAGATTTATTATCATAACAATTCCTAAAAAATACTACTTATTCAAATATTTGTCGTATGAAATGATAATATAGCAGTTTTTGGTTTTTACCAAGACTTCCTTTATGATCATTGGTTCTTAATGTATTGAATGAACAACCAAATGTTCCTTATTTTAATAAGAGAGGCCCAGGTTCTTACAGGGCCGTAGCGCCATAAATAAATAATAAATTATAAAAAAGAAAAAAATGACCGTTTTATTAAATTCAAGATTTCAAAGGACTCTAAATATGTAATTCCTTTTTTAATACTTAGCGATACTTAATCCCTTTTGAACATTTTCTAAGCTTGTTTAATCCTATTCGACTTCAAAAAAAGCCTCAGTTTAGTTATTTGTTTCAAAAAAGAAACATGACAGTGTCCTACGAAATTCTCGTAACTTTAAGGCATAACTGGAAACATAATTTCACAGCTTCTGAAGCTACTCGTGAAACTTGACCAGCGCACTGCGCGGCGTTAGTTAGAAAAATTTAGCGGTGGAGATACGACGTTGGAAAGGAAGAAGGGCTCCGGATGACGATTAATGGACATTGATGAGGTTCTGCAGGAATCTGTTGAGTCAAATGCGCCCACAAGAACTCGAGGACTTGCCAGGGAGTGCGTTGTGTCAAAAGATTCTGTTAGTCGCTATCTACTCTCTTTGGGGAACGAACTTACTCCTCAGCAATCAGCTAAGAGGTTAGAAATTTGTGAAAATTTATAAAAACCCTCTTTTGATATGAGACTCCTGCCTCATCCTCCTTATAGTCCAGACGCCTAGAACCATCGGAATACTACTTATCTTCAAGAGAAAAAATTGATGATTTTGCAGAAGCTGAAATGGCGGTTCAAGAATTCTTTGACAGCCATCTCCAAAGAATGGTATTAACGTGAAATCGAGCAATTGGCTAGCAGATGGCTAATGACGGTAAATAACAATGAACAATACTTTGAGTATTAATTGTATTTTATATCAAAGAAATGATAATACAAATATTTGGTTGAAAAACGGTCATTTTTTTATTTTATTTTATTTATTTTTTTTTTTTTTTATACACCCTATTATTTTGGGTGATTTATTTTCTTTTCCTTTGTTTTGTGCACTGTGCAGTTTGATGTGAGTATAAGAAAATACATTTAATGAAATTTCAGTTTGTATGAAAGGCAGAATATTTTTTATCATACATTTTTAAAGAAAGTATGATCTTCATCAAGTACTAAAGTTAAAATCTAAAGTCTTACCAAGTTTGGTGGATGTAGTCCCACTCCAACATCTGCTCCGTACTTCATCTACAAATCAAAAGTTCTCCCATTCTTTAACTTCCCCCATGTTGCTGCAGTTTAAAAATAAATCGTACTCTCAAAGGACCAGATATATTTAACATTCCTTCGGTTTTAACATTGAAGAGATCACCACTTAACTAGAATACTCTAAATCATTTATAGTACAAAATATAAAAGTTATTATTTTATTTACTGCTTAATGTGAAGTAAGAGATAAAATAAAATAATATGAAATTATCGCTGAATACTGTTGTTTTTTCAAATCTCATATTCTTTTGGTTACGAATAAAACCGATTGGAAACAGGGATTTTTTTTTATTTAGTTTTAATTCGCTTGAAATTTGTTTTATGTAAAAATATATAATTGTTAAACGATGGATGAATTAATTGTATGAATTTATTTGTGAATAATAATTTTAGAACGAGTTCATAATGTATGTTACTAATTCCCTTTGTATTAAGATTTCTACAAAATCTAAGTAATAAAGAAGTTTAAAAATGATAATTATCATATTATGCCAAATAAATTTAACTTGATGACTTGATAGAAAAATAGTAATTTACTTGTTTTTATACGAATAACAGCCCTACCACTGACAATGGAAGTTTATAGAAACATATCAAAAACATTGAGGGGTGTCAGTACCCCTGCGAAAAGAAGATGGTCTGACAGTGAACTATATGCTATAACTATATACAAATCTGAACTGTATGTTTGTCATCTATCATCTGTCTTTACACCATTTACTGACTTACCAACGCAGAACATGAAACCTTAGTACTTGATACTTTAGACATACCACTGCAGTTCAGACCACCCTCTCATTCGTTCACTTCTTTACAAGTCGAACAAAAATAAGATAATTACCTAAAAAAAAATCCCAGGTTCTGACCTAATAACTGCCGAAGCGCTCCAGCGAATGCCCTTACAAAAGATTAGTTAAACTAAAAGGACACAACAATAGACTCATAACCGACATGGCCACCGTTGACATGCCCATTTATAGAAGACTGAAGAGGTGCTGAATGAGAGATCTCCTTCCCTGATTTACAAAAGCAAAAAAAGGCCAGAAAGAGGTGCTCCTGGATGCTATACTTCCTTATGCATATAACGCTATCATCATCTATAATCCCATCAAATCTGCTGATTGGCTCTCTCATGACAAGTGCAGATGAAGTACGAAGAGAAAAAAAATTGTTCTTTAGAGTAATTCAGCTTTAAAGAAGGAAATTATTGTATACAAGTTATACTAAAGTTCTCAAAACTATTGCAGTATGCTTGAACCTAGAACGTGCATATATCATTTATGCCATGCTGGACTAAACATTTTCTTCTTAAATTTATTTTTCTTTGGCTGTGAACTCTGAATGCTTCTTATCTCTATTGCTACCTAATGAAAACAATTGCTTGCATTTATCGACCGGGAGCCATGCCTGACCGCCTGCAAACCTGTCGGAAGGTGGTATGTCCTGGTGGGTTAGCCACGGTGGAGCGATGGCGCGGAGATTACCAATGCCAGTGGGTAAGTTTATTAACAGCCAATCAGCTATTGGTTGGTCTGTAGGAGGTGGTCTATTAATTTGTGGCACGATGGTCGGATTGGAGAATAGGGTGGCTATAGTCCTATCAAATTGTAGTCACCAGGGAATAATCATCGCTGAATCTGGATTTTATATCTCGATGTATTTTTATTTGGAGCAGAGTAGCTCAGTTCACACCATTCATTGCAGGTAATTACTTATTCTTTTACATACATGTGGATAAACCCTGAGATCCTCCTGGGGCACACCCAACCTATATATATTGGGTTCTTTTAATTAAATAATTAATTAAGAGTGAAAACCTGGCGGTTGAGCGTTACCTCGACCTAATCATTTCCCTGCACAACCGTTGGCCTAGATACACTACTTGATTACAAAATACTAAATCCAAGACCCCTTAATGGTTGGTAATGGTATAAGTTTTTTATTTGTTATTTTCTAACGTATGAACTTTCTCATTTGTCTCACTAAATTTTCTCAGAAAAAGCATTAATCAGTTTCGAGACAAATGTGTATGAATATATTTATTATACAACATATTTTTTTTTTTAATAATTTATTTTACTCCCATAAGAACCAAAGTTGGAGGATCTTCTTTAGTTAAACTTTTCAGTCCGAATAGTTCCATATAAAAGGGATAGCTCAGCGGTAGGGTACTGAGTTCCCAATGCTAAAGGTCCCAGGTTCGAACTCCGTCTTATGTAATTTATTTATCTTTTTCATTGGCCGTGGAACGACCCTGGTTCGGAAGACCCTCCTGGGGCTTACCCAGCCTCTATAAACTGGGTACCCTTAATTAAATAATTAATTAAGGGGGCCTACCTGGCGGTTGAGCGTGATCTCTGTCGCATTTCCTGCTTGCACAACTGTTTACCTAGAAACAGTGCTTTTCCTAAATAGTACTACTCTAGTACTACTAAATAGTATTCATGGGAGTGGCACAGGTTTTTTTTTTATTTATAGTTCCATATATAGTTGACTCTTTATATTAAGATTTTATTTTTTATAGCCTTGGAAAAAAAATAACCTTGCAAGATGATGTACAAGTGCTCCTTGAAGAGCTTTTTTTAAAAAAAGAAATCATTATTATTCCTGTAATTATGTTTATGTAGTGTTATAATAATACTTGACATATGTTCGTTATAATTTAAAAAGAGTAGGTACATATTATGATTGTTTAAGTATTTAGCTCAGATGATTCACAGAAATAAACAGGAACCTATGACAAAAAAAAGATGTTTCTATTTTGTAAGACTTCACAAGATATGATGTTATAAATAAACGCTGATTTTTGGTTTATTATTTTCAATAATCAACCATTATGATCGACCAAAAAATTCAAAAACTTAACCCCCTCTCAAAATTTGAGGTTTCACGTTTCAGGATGCGTAGAATTCGAAAAACGAATACAATTTTTTCTGTCCGTCCGCCGTACGCCGTACGCCTTCCGCGCATTTTCTCCGAAATTACTGGACCGATTTTTTTCAAATTTTGATATAAAATCAAAGGTCACCCAAGGATGATTCTCCTTCATCGACATTACTATCCGCCTTTTACATTCAAAATGGCGGCCGAAGAATCTGCGTTGCTATAGACTGTAGCTCCTAAACAAATTTACAGATTTTAATGAAACTTCGCTAAAGTCATTTTCTCGACGACCTTTAAATTTATCTATATAACATATTTTAACATAATTTAATTTAACATAAGTTTTTTTAAATGTTATAGTTGTTGACAAATTATTTAATAAAAAAATATTAGATATAGAAGTTCGACATTTTTGGTTTATTATTTTCAATAATCAATCATTGTGATCGACCAAAAAATTGCGTTGCTATAGACTGTAGCGCCTAAACTAATGTACCGATTTCAATGAAACTTCACTAAAGTTTTCAGTTGTCATTTTCTCTACGCCCTTTGAATTTATCTATATAACATACTTCAACGAAAAGAAGCTGGAAAAAAAATTACGAGAGATGGTAAAATTAAATTCCGAATAACACAAAAAATTTACACTTTTTGTGTTTTTTTAAGTTTACAAAATTTACTAAAAAAAAAATCGTTAAAATCGGATAATTAGGAGCAAAGATATGGTCTCCGGTTTTTTCAATATGTTCTACTCCAAATGTTATATCCTTGGTTTGGTTTTTAAATTTTGAATGTGTTGCTGACGTAATGCTATTTTTGTTTAGCATATTACTAATGATGACAAAAAAAATATTTAGTCCAATAATTGGAATCACCTTTTGTTTATTTTTCTTTGTAACTCGGAAGGTAATGTTACTTTAGATGTATAATTGATTGGAAATAATAAACCATTGTGAAATAATTTGCAGCGTTTTTATTTGTAATCTGTATTATTTTCTGTTTGATAAAATGAATGCTTGATTAATTTATTGCAATCCAAATAAATGCTTAAAAATAATAGATCATAAATAAAAATAATGTAATACGGATTTTTTTTTCTGGAATAATTCATTATTTATAACTACTGTTTATAAATTATAAAATTTATTATCTCATACCGTTTTTAAAATAACTAATTATGTATATAAATAAATGCTTGTTTTATTTATTATTTTATTAGACGTAATAATATTTATCTTATTGGTACTGATGAACATATGATTCACAGTTTAATGTCAACTGTTTTCGATAGAATAAGGTTTATCAAATGTGAGAAATATAAGCTTTGCATATTTTTTACTGTACATCCAACAGTCCGCAGTACGAAACCCATCAAGATATTGAGATTTGTCTAAAACATAATGAATGGACATAATTGCTGCATCTTATCGAAAACTACAAATTTAATATCTACGAAAATTCTGAGGAATTTTAAGTGCAGAGATTAGAGGGAGGGATGGCCGACCATCTGATAACCGAAGTTTAGAAGAAAAAAACCCAGAGCACGCCCCGGTACCAGAGCGAGTACAGTGGCTTAATAATATTATTAAGCTACTGTAAGGGGAGCTCTTAACTCTGGCATTAAGCTCTCATTCCCTGGTCCGGAAAACCCCGTATAGCCTAAAAGGCGAGGAACAAACAAAAAAACTAAAGTATAGAACTAAAGTACAGAGCTTATTTTCATAATGTAAGTTTAAAAAAAAATATTAGCAGTAAGATCTGGTAATTCATTGGAATCAATTTAGCGAAAATAATAAAATATTTTATCGGTTTTTATATTCAAATTTTCCGTATTTAATTACTTCGAATGCATTACAAATTAAATAATATTAATAACCCAAGGCGTAGCCAGCGGAAAAAAAATGACACAAGAGGAGTCAACACTTTTTATTTTCAATTTTTTCAAGCAGACTGTTCTTTTTCGTATTAGTTTCGGGTCTTATGCAGAATCTAGGCACCATTGATTTAAGTAGTTATCTTTTCAAGTTACCAAATCACCTACATTACTCAATCATATGGGTTTGGTATCTTTTTTTTTTACATATGATGTTACATAACCTATAAATATTAGTAGTAGAAGTTGCGTGATTCAGAAACAGGAGCTCACACCAATACAATGGAAAGTATATGAGCTCTTGCTAAAAGGCGTAACAAAATAGAATATGGGACGAGAATGTGTCATCTTGACTCCTATTTATTTAGCGCCAGAAACATAATGACCAAGATCTTTTTGAAAGGATTTGGAAAATAATGTTTTCCTATTATTGTTAAAATTGAACAGATTAAGCACCCTTGAACCAAATTTATCACCGGTTCCATATTCTGCATAAGACCCTTAGTTTCCTTCGAAAAAAGGAAATACTAACAATCAAACTGTCGATGAGATAATTATGTTAAATCGTTGCTGTGATGAATCTCAGCTCCCCACTCTAGACAGAATAGGTCTGGTTATACTTCGAGAGAGCCACATATTATACAAGAAACCTGGCCAAGTATGTGGTAAACGAAAGCGAAAAAAATCAACCTGTCAATCAATCTGCTTAAAGAAAAAAGATATTTATTTATTTATTTTTATTGTTGCCTCTACCCTGCAGGGTCATTGGCAACACTTTATATTTATATTTTATTGTAGAATTTTATTATTTTTAAAAAAATTTTCCACGGCGTTTTCGTTGTCACTGAGGTTTTCTTTTAGACCTGAGCCATATCGAGATTTTTCCTTACATTCTCAAATACTGCGCAGTCTTGGATAATGTGTTGGACAGTTCTTTCCACCTTACAGCTCTCCCTTGTAGGTGGGTCTAGTCCTCTTAGTAAGTAGGTATGTGAAAATTCAGAATGCCCGATTCTTAAGCGGCGGGAACTGTCTCTTCTTTTCTGGAGAGTCGGTAACTACTTTTCCATTTGGAACAGTGGCTTTTTATTGCTTTTAATTTGGTTTCTTTTTGTTGCCATACGTTCTGCCCGCAATTTTTTATTTTATATGATGTATAAAATTTTCTATCGGGATTTCGTTAATTATGGCTGTTGAATATCTATTTAGCCTTCTCGCCATATTTGCTGCTTTGTCTGTCTGTTCATTTCCGACAATTAGTATTAAAAATACCTAGGAATCCACCTGGACAAACGTCTAACTTGGAATCCTCATACCAGACTGAAACGACAAGAAACAGCACGACGTTTCCGACTACTTCAAAACTTACTATACAATCGCTCTAATCTTCCAATTAATTACAAAAGACTCATTTACATGACTATAATAAGGCCTATTTGGACTTACGGAGTTGAGCTATGGGGCTCCACCAAACCTTCAAATTCCTCTCGTATCCAATCCTTACAATCCAAAATCCTTCTTAAAATCCTCAATTTCCTTACTTTGTTACAAATAAAATCATCCATAATGACCTTAGTGATCCTTATGTATCAGATTTGGCCCAATCCAGATATCTTTCCTTCCATAATAAACTTCATAACCATCCCAACCCTCTTGTTTCTAACCTTGCTTCCTATTCAATTCCTGATAACCCTCCGAGGCGTCTGAAAAGAAGATGGCCACGAGATCTCCTAATATAGGCATATTATTAGAGTGCTACCAATGGGTAGTTTCTCAACATGTGTTTCATGTCATTATATGGATGTGCGAATTTACTGTATTTTTTGTATACAGTTGTAAATATCACATAAATAAATAAATAAAATATTAAAAGATATTTAATATTATGATTAAGAAGTTTATTTTTATTATTATATTTTTATGTTGGGGGAGGGGTAGCTGCCCCCAACCTGGCTACACCCATGTTAACTGTGGCTATTACTATCTATAATATGGATTTACATGACTGGCTCCCGTGTAGTATATCTGCATAAAACATTCGACCACCGCCTTCAAAGCCGTTTTTACTGAATCGCGTTTTCAAACAATGCCAGTTTCAGCTAGTTGCGACGAGCTTCCCTAAAAACAAACAATCCTATAGGGCCGAAGCAGCAATCTACAGCCCGCACCGGACAGCAACTATTTGACCTTCCAAAAAACTACAGCTAGACCGAGGAGGAAGAGCGAAGTGAGCTAATGACCAATCGGGCGGGGAGGAAGGTGGAAGAGCGGAATACAGAGTGGCCATTTCTATATTATCGAGAGGGAGGTGTGTGGGGGCGGGCGGGCGGTTATCGGCGGTGACCACGACCGGTCCCGCGCCACCGCCCCCGGCACAATGGTCCTCGCTGGCTGAGCCCCCTCTGATAATATTTCAATTTATTTCAGGTTTCGACTTTTTAATTAACCAGTAAACAATAACTTCCCTTCCAATCCCGGTCCCTACTTATCGCTTTCGTTTTATGTATTCGCTGGGTCATTGGAGTTATTGTATATATTATATTCATTGAAATCCGCATCTAAATAAAGAATCGAAGAAAAAAATAGTTATTTTCTCACCAAATTTAAAAAGTGAATATATGGTAACTTTTTTTTTGGCACCGCGCTATAGAAGGTAGCAGAGCTTTTGTATTCGTGTAGGAGATTTGTGCACAAAATCCAAAAAGTTTACATTTTGGACATGAAGAATAAATTTTTGTTCTTTGACTATCTCTAGTCAAATTCCATACCACGCACAGTGTAACCAAGTAGTGGGAATAATAGACAAAAATCATTAACCCCTTGTTATTTTCAAATAAACATTTTTATTAATTGATTCCAACTCAAAACAAGGTAACAATAGTATAATAATGTATACTATACAGCTATAATAATATTAATAGAAGTAATATAGGAGTTAATAATATTAGTAATAACAATATTATAAAATCCCCATCCCCATCCCCAAATATATTTTATATAATTACAGTAAGGTTAGAAATCGGTTTGCTCAAATACCATGAATGGGGAGTTGGATTCAGAATTTCACGGGGAGGTTAGCGAATCGTATTCTCCACTTTTGTTTTCCTTTCTAAAATAAATAAAGTCGATAGAAACATTTTGCTAGGCTTCAATACTGGAACGGTGGTAGGTCTGTAGATCGATACGGGACAAATTGGATCTTGAAGATTTTGATGCGTACAGCAAGACCCGAAGGAACTATTCGGATCCTGCGTTTTTAAGCCCAAAAACGTACTATTTTCGAGATAACGCAAGGCATAGGGTTCGCATCCACACAACCTTACGTTAATTGTAGTACTGTCATTGAATACATGTCTCATTACGTCGACTTGAGGTCTCTATGATCGAGAGAGGAGAAGTTTATATTATTTATTGATGGTGTTTTTGATTGGCAAACCATATCATCATTAATTTTTCACTAAATCTCAAGATTGAGCCACCATACTCCTTCAGGCGGACAAAATAGTCCAATCGCCCCGAAAATGTAGGCAAACAAGTTTTGAAAGAAAACAAACTTTATTTGTGAATAACTAAAAAATTACACACTTTTCCATGCCCATGATTATATAAAAGATTACTAAATTCCGTACAAAATGAAAAAAAAAATCATCGAAATCGGAATATTTTTAGCAAAGATAAACCTTACTGAAATTTGTAAACATGTTGGTTCCAAACAAAAATAAAGATTTAAATTAATTTTTGTTTTCTTTGTCGATTATATTTATCCATAAAGTAACATTTGATTTCTTTATCTTTTGATATGTTGCATTATTTCATTTTCTTATTAATTTGGAATTTGATAACAATATGCTGTGCGAATTCTTCGCACGGGCCTTCTAGTATAATATAAATGTAATATAACTGTAACATATAATGTAGTTATAGTATAGAAGTAAATTATACTTATAGTAATATTACCACACAATAATAATATTTTATCATTTTATATGAAACTAATTAATATTTTATTTATTGTATATACTTTTTGATTATTATTTTTCTTCTGATTTTTTTTTTTTTTTTTGTATGTATAGTGTGAATGGGGTCTTACTTCACTATAACTAATATCCAAGTGAGAGAATGTTGTACTACTCAATAAATAAATTTAAAAAGTAAATAAAATAAAACTAAATATAAAATAAAATAGGCAAATTATTGATGTTGACTGGGGGTGCCAAATTATTTACATCACTGGTTATTGACAGTAATAGAGTTTAATGATGGTACTTGGTGTACCGGCTATGGATAATTGTTAAGAATGGCTCTCTCGTTATCTTTCAACTTACAGTACTGCTCCTGCTTATTCGCTTTCTTTTACCGCTACTTGTTTCCTTATTTTTCCTGCTGCTTTCTGCCATCTTTCATGACTCTTCCTATCCACTTCTTGTAACAGGGATCTAGCTAGACATACTCGTTGTGATGACACTCATAGAAAAGAAATATTTCATGTACTTTCCCTTTGAGCTATAAGATTCGGGTTTCCCAAGACTGAGCTGGTTTTTTGTTTAACCTTCTCCGCCGATAGACAGAGCTGCCAAAATATACCTAATTTGATTTTATTGAATAAAATTAAATTAAAAACGAATGTGGCCTTAACACCGATTCACTTGAAATTATCAGAAATTGAGGGACTTAGTACCCAGATGTCCTTTGGAGCTGCACCGGCATCTAATCTTTTAAACTTTAAAAGCCTAAAAATGTACATTTTTTGAGATAAATCGTCATTCTTCCCGAAAGTCTCTGAGACGATATGGTAACTATGGGATGCTTGATTAAATTGTTAAGCTTTAAATATTAAAATATGATATTCTTCAAAGAATTAAACATTTATTGAATTAGATACTTCGGATAATACAACAAGAAACTTTCTGATATTTTCAATAAATAAAAAGAATATGCAAGTATGGCCTCTATACTCATACTGCGTAATACAACTAAAAACCAAATTTCTTCTAAATCAAACAAATAGGTCTTGAGAAACTACAATAATGGATCAGCAGAAGTTCAGAAATAGCTGTTTTGTTGCCGAGCTATTAAACGGGGGATGGCACAAGCATTAACGTTCTTGGTAAAGTGCAAAGCTTCGCCAATTGTATGTGTTGAATAGACTATCTTGATAACAGTATATTGTAAAACGTGTTACCCTAAAGTTCCTTATTCGTTGAATGAATTAGGAAGAAGGAAAGTATCTAATTTGAGAGCTCTCACTTAAAATTAATGTACTTCATTGTTAAAGATTATAATGGCTGTGAAATGTGATAGCTAGTGAACATATTGAAGTGGAGGATATATTTAACTTTAGTTATACGTGGTTATAAAATAATAATGTTTTTTTTTTTGTTTTGTTTTTTTGCTGTTGGCATTTCACACCATATATATCTTTTGTCACCTTAACAAGTCTGCTCCATCTCTGCCTGTCTTGGGCTATTTTTCCATTTTTCCACTGCTTTTTGGCCTTCCACGTGGTGTTTTGACTTCTATTGAGGCATTTATTCTTACGTAGAGGCTTCCAGACGGATTGCTACGAGCTACATGCCCCGTCCGTCTTAACCTCCGTGCCTACATATCATGGGATATTGATTGACCAGTTTCTGTAAGCAGTTCTTTATTTGTCTTTCTTCTCCATGTGTCAGTACTCTGATCACAGATCGCTCCGGTTATCGTGCGGAGGATTTTTCTCTCAAATCTTTCAACACTTTTTTCTAGGGTGCTGGTTAATGTCTAGGTCCTACAGCCATAAAATATGCCTTTATCATAGCATCGTACACCCATAATTTGAAATATCTTGAGATTCTTTAGGATTTCAATACCATGAAAGTTTTACACTGGTCTATTTCTGCCCGTTGATCATTCATTGTGGTTATTGTGGAGCCGAAGTGTGATAAAAAATTTAATTTAATATGTATACTGTTGTCAAATTTAGGTGAAGGGAGCAACAACTACTATCTTTAATTCGATTTGATCAAGTCTCAAAGAATTTTGAGTGATGATGTATCGGTAGTCCAGTATTGATTTCATCGAATTTCGCCTAATTCTTACACTTAGATGTGCATTTTTTCACATACTTCGAAAATGTCTTCAAAGGATAGCCTTTGAAATATAAACAATTATGTAACCAATAAAAATATTCTACTTAGCAAACATTTTTATATATTTCAAAATAACAAAGTTCTTAATTTCCAATGTTTTTACTTTCACTACCTATAATGTAATAAAAAATCTGTTGTAAAATTGTTATATTCCATTGTAAAGTTTACTAAAATAAAATTACGAGATATTCATTGCCTGTTATAGATAGGTCAAAAGTTGTCACACTAATTTTAAGTGGATAATGTTGGATTAATTAAGTGGATTTTAAATACTTTTCAAAAGTATTTGAAATCCATCTAATCAAAGCATTAACATAAAACTATTTCATTGTACTTGTGTGAAAGAGGAAGTGAAACATAAAAACATTTCATGGATTTATAAAGCATATGTTTATAACCTTAAATACATTTACTGTAGTTTAATAATATAGAAAGTTGTAAAAAAAAAAAAAAAAAAAGGAACTGAATATTATATCTATTTTTTGTGGTTTATTATTTTTTATTCGCATGGCTTGAAGAGTTCACTGTAGCCAACACATCGAAAGTGACGGAATAACTTTTTAAAAGTGAAAACTTCTCGAGGCGCGTTTTGCACACATCTCCGATGTGTAACGCTCGGATGAGATCGGCTGGAGTCAACTAATTGAAGTGTTTTTGCATATGGATTAAAATATCTCAAAAACTACAAATCGAATCTGCATATTGTTAGTGAGGGAAATGTCCATTTCATGCTCTTTGTAATCAGCTATTATCCAAACTGGTATCTTAACGTGACGCCGTGTTAAGGAGGCGAAAAGGGAAAAATAGTGTAAAAAAATGATAATGAATTTTATTTAAGATATGGATTAAAATATCTCAGAAACTAAAAATCGGATCAGCCTACTGTAAGTGAGGGAAATATTCAGCATTTCATCCTATTTATCATGAGCTATTATTTATAATCTATATTTCATATTATTAATGTCGCCTTTTTGTTATTTTCTGCCGTGTGGTCTAAAGCACAGACATTATTTTTATTTTTTTTATTTTTATTGAAGGAAAATAACACTTTCTTACACTGAGAGTATTACGGAGAGAGTATTATCAAGGTCAGGGAGGGACTGAGGTAATTATGAAAACAATCGGTTATTTATATTCAAAGAAAATAAACATTTAATGCATAATTTAATTAATGATGTGCATTATTTGAATTCTAAATATTATAATTATTAATTTGACTTGTCATAAAATTAAACCAATTGTGAAGAATTACTTTGCAACGAATCAATAATTTAAAATAAAAAGACATTTGTTATTTGTCATTGTGGAGCATTCTAGGATGTTGCGAAGGATTAGGAGCCTTGGTCGAGAAGATTGAAGATTGTTACCCCGTCCAAGCTCATCTTACCCAGGAATTTCCAATCAACCCACCGAAGGCAACTTAAATGGTCATTTAGAAACTTATATTGACAAGACAACGTTTGTTTCTTTAGTTATACTACACCTGATGAAGACAAAACATATTGACATTCTTACATTATTTTTTATTAACAATCTTACAGTTTGAAAGATTTTTCTCTACCACAGTTCACAAGAGCGTGAGAATATCCTGGTGTACTTTATAATTTAAAGATAAGCATTAGAAAAATAATCTTAGGATATACACCATTGCCAGTTCAAAACCAAACGTTGTTTGGCAATTATTTCCACATATATTATCACAGTAAGGTTCGAAATCGATTTTGTACCAAATATAAGCTCCTGTCATGCTCAAATACCATGAATGGGGTACCGTTGGATTCAGAATTTCACGAGGGGTTAGCGAATCGTATTCTCCACTTTTGTTTTTATTTCTAAAATAAATAAAGCCGATACAAACATTTTGCTAGGCTTCAATACTGGAACGGTGGTAGGTCTGTAGATCGATGCGGGACAAATTGGATCTTGAAGATTTTGATGAGTACAGCAAGTTCCTCCAGAACTATCGGATCCTGCGTTTTTAATCCCAAAAACGTACTATCTTCGAGATAACGCAAGGCATAGGGTTCGCATCAACGCAGCCTTACATTAATTGTGATACTGTCATTAAATACATGTCTCATTTCGTCGACTTGAGGTCTCTATGATCGAGAGGAGGAGTTTATATTATTTATCGATGGTGTTTTTGATCGGCATGCTATATCATCGTTAATTTTTCACCAAATCTCAAGATTGAGTCACCAATTTCGAAGGTTTCCTTCTCCTTCAGGAGGGCAAAATAGTCCAATCATCCCGAAAATTCAGACAAACAAGTTATGAAAGAAAACAAACTTTATTTGGGAATAACTAAAAAACTACACACTTTTCCCTAGGTTATGTCAATGATCACATAAAAGATTACTAAATCCCCTACAAAAGGAAAAAAAATCGATCGAAATCGGACAATTTTTAACATAAATACAGCTTACTGAAATTTGTGAACATGTTGGTTCCAAACAAAAATGAAGATTTAAATTAATTTTTGTTTTCTTTGTCGATTATATTTATCCATAAAGTAACATTTGATTTCTTTATCTCTTGATACCTTGCATTATTTTATTTTATTATTAATTTGGCATTTGATAACAATATGCTGTGCGAATTTTTCGCACGGGCCTACTAGTAAATATATAATACAATAAACATTGTAAAAAAGAACTAATAAGTAATCCAAATAAACAAATAATTATTTTAAAAAATACTCATAATTGCATTACTAGTGCATTCAACTTTTCGTTTTCTCTATGGCCAAAAAATAAAATAATTTTTTAAAAAATAATCCATCTATTACATACAATTTTTTTATTGGCCGATATTTTATTTTACACATGAGGGGAATGCACGCAAAGCACCACGCCAGTGTGGGTTTACGAATACACCGCCCTAATCCCAGATAAGATTTATTTTAACTCTTCAGGATGTAAGTTTTCAACTTTTCTCTTCTTTAACAATTTCTGTCTTTCATTCACTCAAGATCTCCGAGCCAGAGCCAAACCTTTCTCTCCATTCATGGAAGGAAAGGCATGACTCTAGGAGATCCCAGCATCCCTCACTCAGCCGCATTACTAGTATTAAAGACCAGTAGAGGCTGAGAAGAGGTGCTATAACCACACATACATACCTTGAGTAGAGAACCTGGCCATTGCCAAAACTTAAGCTTCAAGAGCAGCCCGGGGTGCCATACCCATAAATTTGTTGAGAAAAAAGATAAAAGTACTGACAAATATACATAACAGTTAAAGGTTTTTTTTTTCTATAACTAAACTGTACTTTTCCACTTCTTTTTTATTTCCCTTTTGATTACTTTTTTTTTAAATAGTTGAAAATCATTTTAAAAAAATATAAACTAGGCTCATGAAAAACTATTTATTTTAAATGTACATCACGAATGTGGAATTGTTATGAGATCTAGGTAAAGTAATCTACCGAGTATTAAGGTTGGTCTCCCCGTCACATCTGCCTCAGTCTCCCCTCCCCCCACTTCTCGTGATTGAAGCTTTGATTTCGGGATTTCCGGAAATCCGTCAGTCAAGTCCATCAGTATATCAATCTTAACCTTACACGATCAACCACAACGTCAGCAGTGCGTGGAATGTCATTCCGACGGACCATGTATGTGGGTGCTTATAAGAAGTCTGCCATTCTGTGCGATACCGCCGATATATTATCATATCTCTTCTCTTATTAATACTTTACATAAATGGAGTAGAAATCAGCCAACTTTATAACCGCCGCGGCTGAGGCAAATATCAAACAATGAAGGGAAAGACAGCTGTAAGTGGCAATAAAGAATGGGGTCGGAATAGGAGAAGGGTGATGGCGGGACCCCGGCGGTGGAAGATCCACTCCTTAAAACTTTCTTATTTGTTTTCCCCTCCGGTCTCAATCCCTAAACCAAACTGAAAAGTTGATTAAAGTCCGGTCTAAGTTGTCGTTTTATCTTTAAGAAGGTTCTGATAAAGCGGGACCAGAATGAGGTATCCGGCCTTCCATTTGCCAGGGGAAATGCCTCGCTTTGATCGCCCGTGGAAAAAATAAATAAAAAAACCTTCTCTTTGAAAAAAAAAAAAGATAAAACAAAATTTCCTTAATTAAGGCCGATCACTGCGTTATCAAGAGATCACCGTGACACCCATTGTTGTTATTTGACTTCCTAAAGTTTTAGTCAACGCATAAAAAACGAAGACCCACGAAAATAAATAAAATAATCGAGCAAAAATTTAGTCCGTAACCTATGTTTAGTCGAGGAATTCGAACTCTATCCTAAAGATTTATTGGAATGAATCAAGCAGAAATAGATCCAAATCATTTAATTTAATTTATTTTTATAACTTTAACAGAACTTTCTTATGTTCGTTATAATTACAATTCATAGACAATTCTTCTTCTGCACATTCTTAATTTCGATTATAATTAAGCGGTATATTAGGAGTGTGGATTTATTCATTGCAGTTTTAATAAACTTGTTGATGTTCTCTTTTATTTTCGTTGTACTGTATATGTATAGTGAATACAAAATGAACAACAAAATCTTACCGTTGAGAAATTTTATAAAAAATTTACGATGAAAACAATAACACAAAGTATTTCCTGAAACAGCTTATGTTTTAGATGTATTTTTCTGTGCAGAATAGCTACTAAAAATTTAGTCATTTATTGAAGAGATGAGGAAATTAAAGACGGTGCAGTTACCATGGTAAGTTGAGCTTATTAATTTTTTTTCCAATTAATATGAGGTTTTGTAATAATGAAAAAGTCATTTACTGGAT